GGAGGAGGGGCGAGGCGGGGCGGCTGCGGCGCCGCTAGACAGCCCCGCCGCGGGGGAGCACGGGAGCGGGAGCCTGGGCCCGGCGGCCGTCACGCTCAGACCGCACCTGGAAAGCATAGACCTAGCGCCGCGGCCGTGGCGGGACGGTCCGCAGGGCCCTTCGGGAAATGTAGTTTACACGCCCCGCTCCTTCTGCCAGGAGTTGGAGTGCAAGACCCGGGACCTTCAGGCCTCGGACCAACACCGGGAAAGCCAGTTCCGGGTCTCGGGAAGGTGTGGTCCTCGCCCTAGACTCCTCCCATTGTTCTGGTCGGAGCCTGCGGCCAGCATGGACTACTGCTCCCAGGGTGCTGCGGGATTCGGACCCTGAGAACCCGGCCGACGCTGGGAAACGAAATCGGCCACTATCCGGAGGCGTGGGCTGGGGAAGGGACGACGCACAGGGTGTCTCAGTTCCAGGCGTGATCCTGAGGCGGTTTGTCTCGGGAGGAAGAGAAGGTGCAGGAGAGGCGTGTCTCACTGGTGCTGTGCTCAGAGGCAGACGACCGAAAGTGGAACGGAGCATGCGCTCCTCTCTAGCCCTGGGCCGGGCACCTCGAGTAGCCTGCGCGCTGGATATTGCTGTGGAAGGGCCCAGCGTCTTGAAAGTCTTATAGCCTCCCGCCACCCCCAGCCCAGGCCTGTTGTGAAGTTGTCCAGGATTCCGAGGTCTTTCAAAAATGACTCTGGAGAAGGACCCGGCACCCCAGAGAAGTGTACGGTGCCAGATCCGCTGATTAGCGGACGCACGACCACCAGGGGCCGCTACAGGACAAGAAACTTGACTTGGAGGGTCTCCAAGCACGGAGTAAAGTCTGGATTCCCCTTTCTTTTCCTGTGCTGACCAGACAGCACCGGAAACTCTTTATTATGGTGATGCAACCGAGAGAACCTTTACAGTGGATTGCTGCAGCAAACGCCAGTGTCCTGGCTTCACAAGGGGTGGCTGGCCCAAGCATCTGCTGCCATTGGCTATTCCGGAGAGGGTTCTCAGTGCCTATCCTGCGATGCTTCTGCGACAGAATTTTGTTAAGCCACTGCAGTAGCGATGCCGGCTCAGAGGTTGAGATGGCTCGCTTTTCACTCACTGGACTCTTGGCTGAGGCCAAAGAAGCTCAGGTGGTGGAAGAGAAGGGACCGAGAGAGGTCATGGCCCGGGACTCCCTCGAGGAGGAATAGAGGAAAGTTGAGCGAATGGTCCATCCTGGCGGGAGCTGGCTGGGCGAGTGGCTGCGCATGTGTGCCTGCATAGAAGCCAGGCTGGGGCAGCCCACCCTGCACAGAGGGCAGCAGTAGGGAGCAGCCCCATGCGTCCTCAGGTGCTTGGTCATGGCAGAGAAGTCTCGGGAGCGCTGAGGACACAGGCTACAGGAGAAGGGTTTCTCTCCTAGGGTGGGCAGATGGAGAGGCCAAGAGAGGAAGGAGCACAGGTGGGTCAAATAATTGGTGCACAAGGCAAATGGGAGGAATTGAGCCAGAGCCGGGGAAGAGGAGTCACACTGGCACAGTGCCCGTACCTGTGTGGACTCGGTAGTGCGTCTCCAACTGATGCTTGAGTGAAAACTTCTTTCCACAGACAGAGCAAGAATAGGGCCGAGACCGAGCAGGAGGGGGCAGAGGAAGACGTTGGTGAGATGAGCCATCTGCTGTGCTCTCTTGACCTATACAGGTTGCCTGTGGACCTGTGTGGACAGAGAAGTCAAGGCAAGGCAGAGCTGAGAGTCCTACTGCCAAATCAGGCAAGACACCATAAGCTCCCTGGGGCTGAGGCAAAAATGCCCTCACCCTACTCACCTGTGGGCCCCTGTCCAGACTCTTCCATCTCCCCAGGGCTGAGCTGCACAGGCCCCTGAGGGAGGGAACCTGGAGAGAGCAGAATGAGGTGGGAGTTCAGGCTGGAGTCTTGGAACTCAGCCCCAGGGAAGGACCCAGTGTTCAGAACAATAAGGGGCTTACCTGGGGCAAGCCTGGAGGAGACCAACTGGTTCTGACTCCAGGGCCCTTTGGGGTGGTTTAGGGTCAGTGAGGTCCTAGGGGTGGGAGTAGGGAGTATTATAGCTTGGCAAAACCTGAAAATCTGTCAAGACTTTCTCATGAAACAAGGTGACCTGAGTCTTTGGGAGCTGTCCCATGGCTTTCTCTGTGGTGGGAACTTCATGTTCCATCCTCAGTTCAGGAAATGCACAATAGAGACAATGGATGTGGTACATCCACCTATCTGCAACTTCTCCAGGGCTACTTCTTCCCGTCCTGAAGGTCTTCCACTAGACTCTTACCTTTGATTGTGAGGCCTGACCTCCTGCCAGCCTCCAGTGATGGGGGTGCTGTGGGAAAAAGGAGTGCCATATCTGGGCGGCCACAGCAGGATGCTCCACAGGGAAGGCTGGCCCTCCCCGAGCCAAGGGGCCTCAGCCCACCAAGGCCTGGGGATGATTCTGGTTTGGAGAGAACTTGGTAGGGGAAGGGGACCAGGGAACTCCCGCAGGCTTTCCTCAGAGCCCCCTGGGCTCTCTGTCACCCTGAGGACTACTTGTTTCCCATCTGCTCTCCTGTAGCCAACAGGAACTTTCCTGGGTTTCTCCTCCTCAGACCTTATCTCCCCTTGAGCCTCCCATGTTGCCCCTGCCATCTCAGAGCTCTCTCTTGGTGGCTTGTGCTTGTACAACTTCTGTTCTCTCCCACCAAGTCTAAACAACTTAGTTGAGTTTTGCTTCATTCCGAGGCATGCCAGTCTTCTCTCCGAATCCCCTATGTGTTCTTCCTGCTCCTCCTGATGTTTCTTCCTTAGCTCTTCCGAATCCAGCTCTTCTTCAGACTTGTCCCTTCTAGCCCTCCTGCAGGCCTCTTCCAGGGCCTGCACCCCCAAGGCCCTTGCTGCCTCTTCAAGGGGCCCCAGCTCTCCAGGCTGTAATTCTACACTCTCCCCATAAACAAAGCTCAGCAGCTGGGCAAAAGTGGAATGGCTGATGCCCTCTACCAGCACCCACTGGCCTCTGCACCCCAGCTGCTGGCTCACACCTGCCAGCACCAGACTGTGAGCAGGGAACTCCTGGCCCTCTACAGTGATCAGAGTATCACAAAGTGCTGGCCGTAGCCTGGCTGCAAGCCGTACCAACCGATCAGAGCCATAGGGGCTAAGCAGTCTTGTGGGGGGTAAGGGCATTGTGCCTTGCCTGAATACCAATCTCAAAAGAGACTCTGAGAGAAAGGCTACAATGTGGGGTCCATAGCAGAAAGGGGAGGGAGGAACAGCATGTTCTCAAGCCTGTGGAAGTGAAAAGAAAGTGAGTTACAGGTCTTAGAGCTGTGTCATGAATGGAGTAAATATACAGTGCAAATAAAGTAACCCAAGAGAGGAACTAAACATTGTCCAGAGACATAACAGGAGCCAGCAGTAAGGATATGTTAGAAAATGGAAATGAGATAAAAGTCAAAGTCTTACAGAGCAAGGACCAAGCAGTTCACTTATCAAGCAGTATTAGTATAGAATTTAAAAAGATGAGTGTAGATGCCAACCTATGGCTTAAAAGATAGCAGCCATGGCTACTTCTACTTCCCCAAGCCCTTTGTAGAGAAAAACCTCTGAATAGGCTGAGCTTCATTTCAGGCAAAGGGGTTACCATGAAATCCAGTCAATCCTGGCATTTAGGCATAGAGCAAAATAGCTTCATGGGAGAACTTAGAAATCTAGTGGGTCCTCCAACAGTCTGTCATACGGACCCCATCATGCTGAAGAGGCAGAGGGCAGCAAGACAGCTCATGGCTGCATTCAGTCACCTAAGGCATCACTCAGTCGACTCCCTGAGGTAGAAGCTTCTGATACATTCACAGAGGAGCTGGAAGACACCGAAGACTCTCAGCTAGTGAGTTACAAAGCCAGATTTAGAAGCCAGGAAGGCTCCTGGCCTAGTGATGAAGAGAGGTTTTAGAGAAGCCTTTGGTGGCTGAGAAAGTAGGAACTAGGGGAATGGGAACTGTCCAGAGGGAAGCTTTTTCCTGTCAAGATTAGGCCAAGGAAATGGTTTCATGGTATTTTTTTTATATACCGAAAACTACGTAGAAAGAACCCAACAAATCAGGATTTGACTGAATATCAAAACCACCACTGTTTCTAAGAGAACTAGAAACCCAGATACTGCAAGAAAGAGCTGAAATATTTAAGCACCCAGCAGGCATAGTCCTAGGACAGAGGCTTACTTACTTGGATGCCTCAAGAGAGGGCTACAGATTGGCAGGGAGTGGACAGAAAGAGAGTTTAATGGGAGAAAGGCCTTGGGTAGGGAAAAGCAACACTCACCCGTAGTAGCTGCCTCCTGGAACCACATGCTCTGAACTGCTCTTCTGACTCCTGCCCCCTCCCCCGAAGCTAGCCCCGCCTCTGGCCTCAGACCTCCATTGGACGTCCCAGGTATCAGTCGGCCACAAGTTCCCCCGGGGGGGTGTGGTCTTATGCCCCTGGCTCTGCTTTACACCTGCAGGAGAGATCACACCTGTTTCCAGAACCCAGATGTTCTGTCAGCCAGTCTTTCCTGCATCTTCATTCATGAACTCCTTCAGTGTAAGAAGTAAATCTATGGCAACAGGGACTTTGGAATAATCAGACTAACATTTGGATCTCATCTCTGCCATTTTCTAGTTAAGTCACCTCAGGCAAGTCACTTCTTTGACCTCAGTTACCTCATTCATGAAATGAGGATAACTCTGCTTACCTCATCTGAAGGTGGGATGATGATGAAATGACAAGAATATGAAAGTTGTTTCTCTTAAGTACATAGCACCATTCAAATGGCATGGCATTAGAGGTGGCAGTAGAGCTATAGTAGCTGGAAGCTCTTCCTACTATCTTAGCAGTTAAAAAAAAAAAAAAAAGAAAAAGAAAGAAAGGAACCAACTGAATTGCAAGGAGAGGGTAAAGGAGGGGCAAAGGCATGGCTCCTTTTTCCTGGCTCAGTACTGGGAAGCATTATTTGCTGTGTGGGAATGAACCCTGTTATTTGGGATACCATTCTGTGTGTGTGTGAGTGAGTGACTCAGATCCTCCTGGCTGCGAAGGGGGCACCCCAGCAAGGGCTTGTGGTGGTCTTTGGAGAGAAAATTTTCTCTTCTTGGGCTGATGACAAATGACATTTCTCTGAAATCAGGACTCCAGTTTCTTTCACTTCCTGCCGAAGGGGTCAAGTCCCTGGAGATTTCCCCTCTTTTCACACTTTAGCACTCTTTGCTCTGAGAACAAAATAAGGCCCACGAAGCTCCAGTTGCTTTTTCTGTTTCTGCGTTCTCACTGATCCTGTAGTAAATTTTTGACTCATTCAACATATGTTGACAAAGTGGTTATGGTGTGTACCTGGCATATCATATATGCACAATAAATTACAATCAGATACTGGTAGGCTGCTCTGGTGAAAAGACACAGTCTGGTTTCCCTGGGTTTCTCCTTCAGATCCTGGTCCTCTCCTAGATCCAAATGCCTTTAGGCTCCCTTTTCTGTCTTTGGCTATAGAGCTCCAAACTGTTCAGACCTACTTTCTCTGTCCAGATCTAAAATGCCTTCCCTCTCGTTATAGCTTGGGTGTGGGCAAGTGTTAACCCTTCCTAGATCAGACAGGGTGTGTCAGTGGGTGAGACTGGTGGAGGGGCAATGGGGTGGAGAGAAGGGAAGATGAGTCAGAGTGAAAGGGAAAATGCAAATGGGCAAGCTGTATTCATCTGCTACTCTGAGCGTTAAAAGAGTTTCCATTTCTGAGCTTTCTAACTCCTCACATCACCACACCCAGGGACACATTAGATACCCACACAATAAAACATCAATCCAGATAAAACAGCAATTCTGATATGTATGCATACAGGGAGATACATCCTTCCTCTAACACAGAAATGCATAATCCCTAAAGACAAGGTAGAAGTGGGGAAATGCCAAGTATAGAAAGGTGCAGCGCCTGTAAGCCCAGTTCTTGGGAGGCTGTAAACAGGCGGATCACTATGAGTCCAGTCTAGTAGTAAGACCCTGAATACCCTATAGACCCTTCCCTAAAATACACACACACACACACACACACACACACAAAGGTGCAGGGTTCCAAAAGACGTGGAGTGTGAACTCCTTAGCTCCTAGCCCTCCATCATGTGCTTGTGACTCAGCTGCACCATTACTGTGGCTTTTCCCACTGATGATTAAGAGTTGGGGACTGAGATCAAGGGTAGCGACCTCAAAGTCAGGGAGTACATCACTGGGCTTTCGGGGAACCTAAAAAGGAGAAAAGGTGTAAGGGGATTCCCCTCTGAGTGAACAAAAGCCCCCAAGAATGGGAAACCTCTTCTTGCCTCCCACTTAGTGTCTACCCCACCTCAAGGATATCCTCTTAGGGCTTCCTTAGAGTTACCTTGAGGCCCTCTGCACCTCAGCCCTTAGGCTCTAGTCTCTTCTTACCTTCTTGGCAGTATAATCCAAGCCATTCTGAGCTAAACACTGAAAACAGAAGCACTTTGACTGGAAGGGTAGGGACACTACTGACCTACTTTAGCCCTCCAGACAGTTGGGATTATAGGCATGGATCACCATGCCTAGCTCTTTACTCTTACTGATGGACTTGACTAATGAGGCAATAGGAAATGTATGAGGTGTTCATTTTCAGGAAATGTGTTTGCCTGGCTGCAAAGTCAGAACTTTCCAGAAATTCTTGTATCATAAACCACGTCAGCCTGATTAAAATAATGTCACAACAGCAATACAAATATTAAATATATGTAAATATTAAAATAAGACCACCAGAACAGGTCAAGGATTGTTTTGTGAAAAAAATGTTCTCTTATCTGACTTACTTTGAATATTGAGCTTATTCTCCAAACCACATTGAACAAGATTCAACTTAGAAAAATTGTATTAGGAAAAATTCCACCAAGAAACGTATCTCATTCCATATATCAATGTATCTCCACAATATCTTACATAGATCGACTAATTGCCCAAATCTGACATGAACTTTCAAGATGTTTGCTCTTTCTAGTTAAGTACATTCAGACATACCAGAGGAGCTGCCACACCACAGGACGAGTTAATTCCTTTATCCATTTAACCTATGCTGTATATAACCCAGGAACCACGTAATCATACCTGGGTTAGCTGCATCAAGGTCACAGAGACTCTTACCATCGCACACATTTTGTGGATTGTGTGGAAAAGGAACTAGACTAAAAGTCAGAAAACTTAGAGATTCCCCTGCATCCTTGTAGTGCATAGTCATTCTCTTCAGCCCTAATTTAGGGCTCACCTTGCTGCCCAAGACCCCTGGCTTCCTCACAGGGACTGTTTCAAGACCTGTTCAGAGTACCTGTATTCATTTAATCCAGGACAGAGTCCTCACTCGGATCTCCTCAGGCTGTGTCTTTCCTGGTGGGCTAAGGAGTCCAAGGGCATCTAGGAGGGGCCCACCTGGAAACTTATATAAGAGTACCTGTCCCTCTAGCCACTGTCCTAAAACCATGCTCAGGTTTTCCTGGACCAAATGACTCTGAACCCACACCCACAACCAACATAGGCCCTCACTCCATGTTTGTACTCATGACAATGGGTCTTGTGACAGATATACACACCTTAGGCCCTGACTGTGGGTAAGGAGCATGTGGACTGAACTTGATGTATAAGCAGGGTAGTATGTGAGACACATACTACTAGTATGTGAGGTGTGGGCCAATGCCAGGTATAGGAAGAACAAGAGTAGGGGGAATATTCATTTGTAGTTTTGCCCAGACCCCCATTAATAATACAGGAACCTGCTTTATTCCAGTGCTTTTTGTTTTGTTTTTGTTTTTTGAGACAGAGTCCCACTATGCAGTTCAGGCTGGCCATGAGCTCACTTCGTAGCCCAGGCTGGTTTCAAACTCGCAGTGAACCTCCTGCCTCAGTCTCTCAAGTGCTAGGATTACAGGCATACACCACAATGCCCAGCTACTGGAATGGTTCTTAATCTCTTCAAGATAACCATCTAGTTGAGAATGTAAGCCATAGGATCAACTGTTTACATTAGATTATTGTGGACATTCATACTATATTAATGACAAATTCAATAGATTGCTCTGAAACCCATTCCTGGACAGACTAAATGTATAACCCAACATAAGATTGGTACTGTTTCATAGAAATCTGCAATGGCCTTTAAATAAGGGTTCATCTAATATATTTTATATAGTCCTGCA